AACGGCTTGAAACCTCCATTTCAAGCCTCCATTCGCCTATTTTCATTGAGAGATGGCCGAGATCTTCCTTCTTCCATGCGGCCATATCCAACACCCCTTCACTCCCGCGCGCTTTTTCTCTTCTCTTCCTCCCCTTCCACTAACTCTTTCCTCAATCTGACCGCCTCAGCTGGTTCGCGTTGCGTCAGATCCTTAGGTTAGCACCTGCCCCAGCCAAACTTCACTAAGAGGTAAGCCCGCTATAACTTTTCTTTTTCTGCCATAACTTCTAGCCCGATGTTGCTTTCTTCCTCCTCCTTCGAATGCACCTGGCGCGAAACCACGTCCAGGTTCATTCTCATGTCATTGTAATCCCTGCTCTCGTCGTGCAGCGCTCTCCTGCGCTCTCCCTTCCTCCTCTAACTCTCCCTCACCTCTCCTCCTATACAACAATTCTCCCACTAACGTTCGCTGCCTCACCCTCCCGGAGGGCACTCACTATTAGCAAGCGAGGGGAGCGTTCGGCCCCTCTCCTTTATGCGAATCAGCATCGTGCAGGGGTCATGCTACTCTCTTCGGTATCGTTCCAATTTTAACGGATGTCCCGAAGGACTGTGTAGGGCTACGGTACATTAGTAGTTCGTGGGTGCACTAGGCCAAGTAGGCTCTTGGGTCCCATGGCCGGTCCCTGAGACCAGTGCCGGCCTTGTTCCAAAATAATAATAATAAAAAATATAAATTTAGGAAAGTAATGATAAAAAACTCAGAGATAAAATGCACTAGTACTACTAAGAGAAAAAAACAACGGATGGGGGAGGGGACCCCTTGGTACTTGGTCCTCCCTCTTGGGCCCGCGGTCGGACTCCGCCGCAAAACGCCAAGGGGGATAGTCCCATGGGACCCTCAACCCCTCGGCTCACTCCGCCGCACTCCTCCTATGCTCCACTGCTCCGCTCTGGCCTCAATCCCAAGATCCGCCTAGTGATAGCTCAATGATGTAACCTATAGGGCTAAGCCCAAGCCCGGTTATAGCAGGCGCAGCCCTACTCATAAAGAGTAAGGGCAGCCTGCCCAGGCCTGCAAACAGTATCTCAGGCCGTCCCTCTAACTTACCGCTTGCGTCCAAGGACCCGCCGACACCCATGTATTTCTTTGGAGGGCACGGCCTTGCTAGCTCGCCGTGCGTGTTGCCGCATCACGCTGCGGCTATGGCCGCGCTCTCCTATTCCCTCATACTCATCGAGAACTTGCCCGTTCTACCACCTTTGGGCCGAAAACGCCCCGACTTCTACTTCCTTTGCCCCCGGCCCACGCCGTCCTAGCTAAAGCTCGCCACGGCTTCTACTGTCGGCAGCGCATGGTCAACCACATGCCTGCGAATTTTCACGTGGTGCGGCCCTCAACCGTCGGTCCCCAATAAGTCCGATAACCACCTCCTCTAATCACAGCCTTACCTGGTCAATGCGACGCCGCTCAGAACTTCGTCCGGGCGTGCGAGGCCACAACTACCCCCATAATCCTAGCCTAGTGCCCACTTGTTTCACTGGCGTCTCATGGGCTTCCTTGTCCCAGGCTCGGTCACGCTAACGCGTGCCCACAAGGTGCATGCTCACACTCTCTCTAATCAACACAAACGGGATGCGCCCCTGGATATCATCAGGAGCGTTCTTCGTGTAAGTTGCAAATATGTGCCCAAATACCCTTGTAAGGGTATTCGGGCCGACAGTTTTCCGGACCTCCTCAACCCTGATCCGAAAATCCGAAGAGAAAGATGCGAGGGCATCCATGCAACTCGCCCGGTCGACCCATCCCCACACACTTCGCTCGACCGACCCGTCCCAACCCCCGAAGCAGCTTCGCGCAGAAAGTCGCGCGGTTACAGAAAGGCAATTCGGCGACAAAGGTCCTCGCAGCAATTTAGCAAGGACCCTCCACCAAAATCGAGGTCCTCATTGTTGTACCATTTCTACCCCCAGTAGGACTTGGCCCCCGCTTTCCCAAATCCGCATACTTTGTGGTTTTAGGGTAGCAGTGTGAGTAATATGCCCTTAGGTTGGAGTGTGGTCTTGCAGGGCGCTCGGCTAGCTAGGCTCTGAATTGGGCCGTTGTCGTTTTGGCTCTGCCACTTGTTGTTGGGGTACAACCCACGGACCGAGTCTGGGCACTGGCCCCAAAATGTGATGCTTTTTTTTTTTTTTTTTTTTTTTTTGGAAGACATGCTGCAATCTATTCGTGGGGAGCAGCACGTGCAAGGAATCGGGCCCAGCGTCTCATATGAAGACATGAAAAAACAATTTATGAACAAATTGAGGTATGCTTTTGGTGGGTTGTTTGTGAGGGATTCTCTCCTCCCCACACAGCATGTCGAAATCCGAGATGATAATTTTTTTCAGGACCTGTCAGGAAAACGGTTTCGACACCGTCTCTTGATCAGGGCTCGTTTCCCTGCCTGCAACTTGGACATTTTAAGCAGTCCTCCGATGGGATGTCCAGTTCTTGCCCGAATGCCGAAAAGGAGAACGAACCAACGCTTGACTTCTCCACCCTAGTTTGTCTCTTTTGTGCGTAAGACTTATGAGTTCTCCACTCCGATGGGATGTCCAGTTCTTCACCCCAGTTTGTCTCTTTTGTGCATAGGACTTACGAGCTCTCCACTTCGACATGATGCGTGGAGAAGAGGGTTTTTTGTCGAAAGAGGGAATGTCAAGAAGTTCCTGACATATAAACATTTGTGTGGCGAGGCCCTATGTTTTTTTATTTCCTTCCATGTCTTACACCACCATTTCTTACTTTTCCCTTCCAGGTCTGACACAACTGCTGCCCCATGCAATTGTGACAAACGGCCTGAGATCGGTACTTTCATTGCATATTCCAAATCGGCGCCTGTTTTCTTTGCTGGAGCATCACCCGAGCATGGTTTCTTTTGGGTGCATTAGAAACTCAAAGCTGACATCAACGCAGTTGCCCCAGCTGAAAAAGATCCGTCGGGCCTTTGTTTTTCCTTTCATTCCCTGTGACACCACAGATAATGAACTACGATTTCGTCAAAACGGACATTTTGTATTTTTTTAACGAAATTGAAACTCACATATTTTGCCAATTTTTTCTTCATTTATGAATTATTTGTGATACGAACAGGGGGGTAAGGGGTAAGGGGTAAGGGTAAGGGGTAAGGGGTAAGGGTAAGGGGTAAGGGGTAAGGGGGAAAGGGGGTAAGGGGTAGGGGGGTAAGGGGTAAGAGGTAAGGGGTAAGGGGTAAGTGGTAAGGGAGGTAAGGGGTAGGGGGGTAAGGGGTAAGGGGTAAGGGGTAAGGAGGACAGGAGCCTCGAAGGTAAGAGATAAGATGACCTTTCATAAGATGTCCTTATTGCAGGACCGGTTACATTCATCGTGAACCGCATAATTAGATAGTGATAGACTTACAAACTATTCTTCTCCTTTATCAGATCTATTTCTGATCACTACATGGTCGTTTCATGTGTTTGTAAGTCTATACTGTAAATGGAACAAATTCGTCTACTGCACAACAGCTACGTCAAAAGCTATCTGGCATCGTATTTTCTTTGTGTCATCTGATGTGAATGTGAAAGTTGGAAGAAACCCTCTCACCAATAGTGATGCATATATCAGCATAAACATACCGCACTCGTTGAAGTCGCGCTGCTTTGGAATGCCTTCCACTTGCCATATATGGTTGAAGTTTTTCGTGTCAATTTCTTGACCTTGTTCGACCGACCTCATGTACAAAAATCTTGCGAACCCCCCTGTCACCTTCGCCGCGAGTTCAACATCCGACGTCAGCGAATCGTAGCACTCAATTTTCATACGCCTAAGGTCTGCCACTACGAGTGTCCAATGTTGGTTGTGCGGGACATGAAAAGGTGCAATGATCAAATCCATGTCGCTAATCACGACCTTTGTGAACCAGCTGCGAACGTTTTCGTACTTGAACTTCATATCGCTATCAAATAGTTGTGCGAAAAAAAATGAGCTTAGAACTGCTATTATAGGAATGCGCCCCTTTCCTGTTCTAACGACGTTTTCGTTCTTCGAATCGCAATTATGGTGCTTCACACGACACTCATTGTCCAGTCGGACAAGGTTAAGATAAAAATTAACTATCTGCTCGTTCAGCCACTTTTTTTCTATCATTAGCAAGCTAAAATCGTTGACTGTTATCGTTAATTCTTCTTTTGTGTCTTCGTTGAATGAACTTGTTATGTCGTCGCTATCCCCAAGTTTCACTCGCAATCGCGTGAGGGCCTCCATCTCTCTCTCCGTCATGACAACGCGCCATGTCTTTATGAGAGCTCATGTTTGCACCCACGCGCCATTTGCACCCACGGTCCATCCTCTTTTGCACCCATTTCGTTCTTCGAATCGCAATTATGGTGCTTCCTCCATTTGCACCCACGCGCCATTTGCACCCACGGTCCATCCTCTTTTGCACCTCCGGTTATCCTCCATTGTCGTTTGCGCTGCACATGACAACGCGCCATGTCTTTATGTGAGCTCATGTTTGCTCATATTTCAATAGGTTCATTTCTAGTCATGTTCATTGCATTCAATTTCTTGTAGTAATGAGTAGTAATGTGTAGTAAAGGTTACCTTAAAAGAGCGGGGTGCTTATTAGAACTAGTAATTTACGTAGTTGAAACCAATACACTCCATTATTTTCTTTCATGCACTTCCATCATATTCATCAACCGCATTAACGAGGAGTTACCTTAAACGAGTGAGTTTATTTGATGCACTTTCATCATATTCATCAACCGCATTAACTAGGAGTTACCTTAAACGAGTAAGTGCGAGAGAGAGAGAAAGAGAGAGAGAGAGAGAGAGAGAGATGTATCATGATTGACACTGTTATCTGATGTCCTCTCCAATTCACTGCGGAATCAATTATTATATCACACGTCTCCCGCCGAAAATATTTATCTGAGTTGCGTACAAGAACTCACACATATACATAGAGTGTCACGCCAATCCGAACTCAGCCTCTTCATATATCTACACATTAATCGGGTGTTTTTTCTTTATCTCTCTTGTCGATCGTCTCGCGGGTTGACCTCCGTCATCCACTACCTTATGTTCATCGACATTGTCCCTTGCATCCTTATTGTCATCGCGCTCGTCTACATGTACGTCTACCTCTTCATCGCTTAACGATATACAATTAATCACCGTCTGGGACTTGGTTGATCCCTCAAGCTTCCTCTTCCCGTCCTTCTTCGCCTCATCCAACAGTTTATCATCTCATCGGAATCTGTTTGCACCTCTCTCGCACGTTTTGCATACCCACCTTGTTGCATTGCATCTGAAACCGCCATGTTCGTGGAAGGAGTGGGACTCTCCATCTGCGATGCACTCTGGTTTTCCACCTGAGTTATTAGACGAGGCCCGTACGATGCGACGTTCGAAGGATCTTTGTCGACATTCCGTGTTCCCTTGTCCACCCCCATTATCTTAACATTGGTTTGACTCATCGCTTCCCCAACACTGGCAGCCAAGTGCGTCGTCGACTGGCCCCCAAACTGTGAGCATCCCAACTGGATTGTCTCAATTCCTTGGCACGCAGGATGAAGTTCGATCTTCCAATCGATGGTCTTGTATGACCGGCTTGACAGTAAGTCATAGAACTTGTGTTTATATTTCAGCTGATTGTTGGAGTGCAGAGAATCGAATAGCAATTGAGCCTTCTCCTCAATAGCTGCCTCGTCCGCTCCGTCGTTTTCGCGCCTGACATGGAAGACGATTTCGCTCTTCGTCACTTTCAGCCACAGTACTTCTGTCAGTCTCGGTTTGACTTTCCATCCTGATGTTAGATGCAGTGCCATCATCCACTCCCCCTTGAAAATGCATGTCTTGAATACGTCTGTATGCCACAAAATGTTATGCCCCCACTTCTCAGACGTCGTTTCTGGCACCTTGTCTTCAATGAAGTACGGCCGTTCGCTGACCTGCACAATGTGATCGGGATTATCATCACCGGGCATCAGCCTCGGAAGGGCATCTTGAACCGCCAAGTCATCCTCATCGGCGTCTGCCAGCATGTTGTGTTCCGTGTTTCCTTGAAAAGTGCGAGGCCTCCCCTGGAACCCGTGACGATTGCCATGAATCAATGCATTCTCAAGTGCTCTGAGGGGTGTAGGCGAATCCGTTTACATCTGTTCAATGGAACTCGCCCTGTCGGTCACGTCACGCGTCGGACTGCTCGCACCTCCCGATTTCGTGCGACCTTCTTCTGGATTCGGCACGCTGCATGCAGGCACACTTTGCATTCCCTCTCGCAAACGTTTCACTCACTCTTCGATTTCAAGGTCCGATGTTTCGGTCTCCTCGTCGCTCTCTATCGGATTCCATGCATCGGTTGTTTTGCCAATGTTGCTGTACTCTTCATACGTCAGCATTGCCGGATTTGCTGTGAACTTCATTTGTTCACATCTCGCCACGAACATCGCAAACGCACCCACCTGTGCTTTATGGTAGCCACCATACGCTTTCTGTGCCATCGCTTTGCGAACTATGTAGTCATGCTCGAATGGCGACTTGGGTTGGCCTTGGAATAGATATTCCCACATCTTGTTTATCTTCTTGCCCAACTTGTGGTACATGTCCCTGTCCGGACGGTGCGCAGTCTTCTGTCTCTGAACCGTACAATCGTTTCTCACGTCCTTCCCAAGAAATTCGATGGTCTTCGTCAAGTACGAAATGTCTTTGGACGACGAATCGCATGCGAAAACGTGATAGCCAGCGCGCAGAAGCTCCCACATAAGTCCAGCATGCGACTTCCCGATAAGAATCACCCCTTGATCCTCGTGCAGAAACGAACTACACAACTTCTGCAACCGTTTGGGATGTCGTTCCCACCGCCCATACACCTCTCGTTCATTTTCTTCCTCGCCGCCATGCCTCGCTGTGCACCTCTTGAAGTGCTCCTCCTCAACGTTTAGCTCCACTATCTCCGCCTCCGATTTAGGGGCCCTCGTGACCTTCTTGAGGTCGCTGCCCTCGGCATGCAGGACGATCACCATCGTGTCCTTATAATCGACTTGCCAGTTTCCGTACTCGCTGACAGCCGTCCCGACCCCGAGATAACGCTTCCAAGTCCCGGGTATCACCTCTACATCGTCCCAGTTGTAAAGCTGCTTCATGACGATCTTATGTTGTTTTTGCGGGGCAAAAACAATCAAAATCCAATTGTTACCACACAATTTCGTCATCGTTTTGTGCAAAGCATCGAAATCGGCCGGCGACCATGCAAGACACTCCTTCGGGTTGGTGAGATCGAGGATAGCCGCCTTGCAATTCAAGTTTGTGGCCGCAGTCACAATTTCGTCGGCCGCGGGCAGCAACTCCTTGGGGTGCATGTTGACAGGTAGCAATGTCGACTGTCATTGTTTTTTTTCCCAACTCAGATTAAGCGCAGCGTTCTTCAACCGTTGCAACTCAGCTGTCAGCAATTCCACTCTTCCAATTGCATGGTATACGAAGTACTTGAAGTGGAAAGACACGTCCCTATACAATGCCTCCGTGGCCTTCAGGCCAGCTCCTTTCAGACTTTTTTCCTCTTGCTCTCCGCCGAGTCTTTTTGGAACCCTACGGACGTATTCCAAAGGGATCCTATCCCTTTCCTCGTCCCATTCGGCTGCCCTCACACCAAACCTTTGCTCCACTTTTTCCTAGTCGAAGACGTTCCCGTCCTTCCATTTCCTCGCCTCTCTGTTCTCCGACTTGAAGAAGATGTAGTTGAACAGACGCATCATGTATCTCTCTCGCATTATGATGTCGAGGAGGTTGGTCATGTTCAACTTCCCAGGAGGAACCAGTCTAGTAGTGGCGATGACTTTCTTATTTATCATCAACCGCAATGCAATTTCCTTCTCTCGTGCCGTCATATCTCCAAAACATTTGAAGTTTTACGGAACGAGATCTTTGAAGGACACCGTAGCGTTTGGTCTCTCGTCCCTAGCCGGTATGTAATGGAACACCTCCTTCTTCCCCTGCACCTCTTCAGTGAATTGGTCCGTCACCCGGCCTTCCTGCTTCCCCGGTCAAGTCCTTTGGGCATTTGTTGTCGTGTAGCGGCGACTCCCCCGCCTCGAACTTCTGAAAAACTATTTTACCAATGTCCATATCCAGTCCTTGCATGTGGCGACATTCATGTATCCCCTCATTCCGTTCGTCCAGTCCTGTTGCCACTTCGGAGCCATACACTTGGTCCACAGTGATTTGTCACATGACTTCCCCATGCAAAGTCTAATAAATTTACTCCACTCTTCCTGGTGCGTCACACCGGAGGGATCCCCTTTCGACACGTTTCCCACAGGCCCGATCCATTTCTTCGAGTCCCAAAATCCTTTGATGTCCTCGCAGGCTTGGTGGAACGACGACAACATAGCACGGTCAACTCTCGTGTTGTCGCATGTCGAAACGTACGTGTACTCGTTCGTGTGGTCGTGGTCGAAAAATATGATCCATACACGATCATAATTCCGAAAGCCGAACACCTCCACTGCTGCAGAATTATTCGTCAGTGCTCTTTTCATAGCTTCGGAAGTATGTTGACCGGCAACCGGGTAATAGAAATACTCATCTGCCCTATCGGGATCGAAGTCCTGTGGAAGGACATGTATCCCTTGGCTGTTCTCGTCGATTGATGGTGTAATCGGAGCCAGCACCAACTCTGGTAGATCCCACGGAGCCGGATCATCCTCGGACCTTGGATGAGTTGATGCATCGATTGCCAGTTCGATGCCTGCAACGATGGTCGGGTTCAGCGATCGCTGGTTGAAGGCGATATCTCCCACCGGAATTGGAAGAATCTGCACGACGTCAGTGACCACCCTCGGCGGGTCTCTTCTCTTTTTGCCGTCGTCGTCGCACTCGAGGAAGAAGCACTGCGTCGTATTGACCGCACTGGGTTTCTTCGTCTCCTTCTCGTCGTCGTCAGGGAGGGAGAGCAAGCGAGGGGCCACCCCTTCAGCATCGTCGCTGGAGTCGTCCGATTTCTGGCGCCTTGATGGCCGCACGGGCTTCCTGGGTTGTGACATTTTGCAAACCCGAGCACTTGATTTGCATTTCACATCGGCTTCACCAAGCGTCCCTTGAGATGCATCCAAGGCGACCCGAGCTTCGTCCACAACTTTCCTTCGAGCCTGCTTCTTGGGCGCAACTGGCGTCGGCGACGATTGCGCTGTGCGTTTTCCCTTCCCCTTGGACGTTAGCCCCGCGGAAACACCGACATCTCCTCCTTCGGCTTCCAATTCCTCGTCTTCCATTTCCAAACCACCGACACTGCCACCGCCCACCCCACCGCTCACCGAATTTTTTTCCCACTCCATATGGTCAACCGCTCCTCGAACGTGTTCTCGCCACTCGCCAATACCACACTCCCCTTCATCCTTGTCGTGTTCTCCATCGTCCCTTACCCGAGCTTCGGCACCTCCACCACTTTGCCGCCGCTCATTCACATCGCAAGAGCCTTCGCCCTGGATGTGCCCTAGCGTCGCTATCAACCGGGAACGCACTTGCCAAACCCGTGCATCATCCTGCGTCTCTTCGTCTGACTCCTTGTCCATTCGACGTTGAGAGGTGTCCCGCGAGCGTGAGATGGCACCAGCACGCGAGCTCACCGGAAGATTCGAAGGAGGTCCGGCGACCACCTTCTTCTTCGGAATATTTTCCGATGACCCACCGGCCGAACGCCTCTGGTAAGTAAAAATTGTCTCCTTCCCGCCGACAGGTTGTTGTTGTGTCGACACAACCTGCCGGCGATCGCTAGAGCACGCTGATAAGCCTGCGAGACTTTTGGCAGGAGCGTCGAACGGGACAATAGGTAACGTGAGATGGTGACCAGCAACGACCGTCGGGAATTGACCACTTTTCCTATAACCGTTGGTCTTGCTGAGAAATTCAATGGGTAAGAGCATCCTCAACGCATTCCCATCTCGCTTGCTGTCGAAGGCTTTCATAGCGAATGCCTTCTGACCATACCCCTTAAACAGACCGAGGTCGAGGCTGACCTTGTGGTCAGTTTTGACCTAGTCGGTACCCCGCTCATCGTACACCAAAGTGAGGAAGAACTTCCTCAAGTCTTGCTCGTCGACCTTGCCCTTCTCCGCCGTGGCCTTGTCAATTTCAGACCTGATGATGCCACCACAACAGTACCAGGTCTCCCCTTCGTCCTCCATCAAAAACACAGCAGCACCGCACCCAGCCTCGCCAGCCACACCGACCCAGTCGAAAGCCCACAGCTTGTCGCGATACAGTTTCAACCTGTTGTTGTACCTCTTATCCGCATCATTCGGACCCTTACGACCTCTACCTGGAGGAGATATCCATAAGAAAAAAAAAAGGAGGTTGGTAATCAGAAGTAGAGCTTTTGTAGAACGCTGGACCCCCACCTTTCACAAGCCGGCATGCGGGGGTCCAGCGTTTGTGAAACGCTGGACTCCCGCCTACCGGCCGTCGCTATTGGCATTTGGCTCGCATGTTCATGCGATCGATCCCAGCCCTCGACCCAACCGACGGGCAGGGGTCCAGCGTTTGTCAGACGCTGGACCCCCACCAATGGCGGGGCAGG